CAAGAGCTAAAGATTGCACAAAAAACCGTTTGGAACCATTTGAATAAGGCTGGATACAAAAAGAAGCTCGATGTATGGGTGCCACACGAGTTAACGAAAAAAAACCTCATGGACCGAATTTCCATCTGCGAATCGCTGCTGAATCGCAACAAAATCGACCTATTTCTGAAGCGGTTGGTCACTGGTGATGAAAAGTGGATCACTTACGACAACGTCAAGCGAAAACGGTCGTGGTCGAATCGCGGTGAGCCGGCGGAAACGGTGGCCAGCCGGGATTGACGGCCAGGAAGGTTTTGCTGTGTGTTTGGTGGGATTGGCAGGGAATTATCTACTATGAGCTGCTCCCCTACGGCAAAACTCTTAACTCGGAACTGTACTGTCAACAACTGGACCGTCTGAAGGAAGCAATCGCCTAGAAGCGGCCAGCCTTTGGCCAATAGGAGAGGAATTGTGTTCCATCAAGACAACGCCAGGCCGCACACATCGATAGTGACTCGCAAGAAGCTCCGGGAGCTTGGTTGGGAGGTTCTTATGCATCCACCTTATAGTCCGGACCTGGCACCAAGTGATTACCATCTGTTCCTGTCCATGGCGAACAATTTTGCTGGTGAAAAATTCGCTTCAAGAGAGGCTTGTGAAAATCGACTGTCTCAATTTTTTGCCAATAGGGACGAGGGCTTCTATGAGAGAGGCATAATGAAATTATCTTCAAAATGGCAACAAGTTATCGAACAAAACAGCGCATATTTGACCTAAATCGGATCATTCTAACTATGGTAATTAAAGCCTTCAATTTCATGCAAAAATAATGGATTTCTTTTTACTACACCTGATATGATAAGTATCACCCTGAAAATTGTTCATTTCATACAGAGGAGTCTGTGATGTAAGAATTATTTAATATTACTATAACTATATTTGCATAGAATAATAAAATACTATTTGTCTCCACCAATTCTTCGCATTTCAGTTTTCTATCCTAGAATTGACCTACATATTAAATACTACATAATCATAACACAGTTCTTACTTATCACGAATATCACGATATATGCTGTGAACATTTCTTGCTAATTGATAAAAAAAAAGAATGGTGAGAACCGAACTTGGGTCCTACAGCGTACTAGCCGCAACCGCAGTCGCTGCGCCATGTCCGCTGACTCGAAAATTGCTGCTACATACCGAGTATTCTACGGCGAGTAGAATTTCAAAATTTTTTTCTCCGAAACCAAAGCCCATTGAGGAAAACTCTTTGACCCTCATGCACAGGGGAAATCCCTCTACAATATTCGTCAGCCATCAAAATCCTTTATTAACAGGTCTGAAGGTCCCCTTGTAAGAGGGTTATCAAAAGCTCGTGGTTTTAATCCAAATGCAGTCTGTGAAAGCGGACTGTCACTCAAAATTCTCCGATTTTCAGGAGTAGAGGGCTCATATCAGGTGTAGTAAAAAGAAATCCATTATTTTTGCATGAAATTGAAGGCTTTAATTACCATAGTTAGAATGATCCGATTTAGGTCAAATATGCGCAGTTTTGTTCGATAACTTGTTGCCATTTTGAAGGTAATTTCATTATGCCTCTCTCATAGAAGCCCTCGTCCCTATTGGCAAAAAATTGAGACAGTCGATTTTCACAAGCCTCTCTTGAAGCGAATATTTCACCAGCAAAATTGTTCGCCATGGACAGGAACAGATGGTAATCACTTGGTGCCAGGTCCGGACAATAAGGTAGATGCATAAGAACCTTCCAACCAAGCTCCCGGAGCTTTTGGCGAGTCACTATCGATGTGTGTGGCCTGGCGTTGTCCTGATGGAACACAATTCCTCTCCTATTGGCCAAAGCTGGCCGCTTCTGGGCGATTGCTTCCTTCAGACGGTCCAATTGTTGACAGTACAGTTCCGAGTTAAGAGTTTTGCCGTAGGGGAGCAGCTCATAGTAGATAATTCCCTGCCAATCCCACCAAACACACAGCAAAACCTTCCTGGCCGTCAATCCTGGCTTGGCCACCGTTTCCGCCGGCTCATCGCGATTCGACCACGACCGTTTTCGCTTGACGTTGTCGTAAGTGATCCACTTTTCATCACCAGTGACCAACCGCTTCAGAAATGGGTCGATTTTGTTGCGATTCAGCAGCGATTCGCAGATGGAAATTCGGTCCATGAGGTTTTTTTGCGTTAACTCGTGTGGCACCTATATATCGAGCTTCTTTTTGTATCCAGCCTTATTCAAATGGTTCCAAACGGTTTTTTGTACAATCTTTAGCTCTTGGGCAATCGAAACAGTGCTTACATGACGGTCGGACTCGACAATGTCCATGATTTTATCGATATTTTCGACAATTGGCCTTCCAGTGCGTGGTGCATCTTTGACATCGAAATTACCGGAACGGAATCGACGAAACCAAAATTGCGCGTGATTGGCTGTTACAGTATCAGGACCATAAACACTATTCACATTTTCAGCCGCTTGGCTTGCGTTTTCGCCTTTATCAAAGAAAAACTGTAAAGTATAGCGTATTTTCTCTTTGTTAGTGTCCATCTTTGACGCGCGCTCAAACAAAACTGAGTCAAGTAATCACAAAACTGTCAGAAAAGTTTTTAGAATGAAATCTCATCTTTCTAATGCCATCTAGTGGAACCCGATCGGACTTATACAACGCGAGATACAGATAACTAAAGCCATCTATTGGAAAAATAATGGATTTCTTTTTACTACACTTAATATATAGGAATGAGGGTAGATGGGGGGGGAGCACTTGGAGACTCAGAGGATACAGTAGATACGTAAGGTGTCGATGTGTATTGCGGCTCGATTGTTTTAGAAGGTTTAGGCGTTGCTTTTATGGCCTGTTGATTTGCCTTTTCAATCTCGGATTTATCTGAATTGGTCGCGTATTCATGCCCTTTTTCAACTATCGCTCAATTCATCCCGGACGAGCTCCCAATTTTATATGTTACTTCCTGGAGGAAGAACGCAACTTGACGCTTGCTTTCGCAAGCTCCGACGTACTCGCAAGTCTGCGGTGCAGATCAAAGATCGGAATGACCTCTTTATCTGGCGCGGACGTACGTTGTCCTTTATTTGGGTGAAGAGACTGAATTCTTTTAGCTGGGATAGGACCGTGAGCGACAGTTGAGAGAACGATCTTGTAATACAAGTACTAAAGAGGCGACCTCAAAATCCTCGCGGTTTGCACAATTTTCCGTGGAGGTTATCTCTGACTGTGATTGAGAAGATTGAGCCACTGAAATCGGATTTAACAATTAAGGAGGGATGCCAAAGGGGATAGGAGAAGAAAGAAAAAGGATGGAAAAGAAAAGAGAGAGAAGAAAAGATAAAAATTAAAAGGAAAGGGGTCACTCAGGCAAAAGAAAGTATAAATAACTTACTGCTGGTTCTATGATGTTAGTCGACAATGAAAAGTGTAATTGCTGCGTCTGTGAGGTGGACCCAAGTTTTGCGCCAAGAACAGGAAACTGATTTCAGCAGGATCTCTCGCAATGCCTCAAGAACGCACGAGATCGTTGCACAGAAGAATTAATAACTGAAGAACTCCGATCTGCCTAAGTCACTAGTAGGCTTGGTTATTAAGAGACCCTGAAGGGGTGTTGGAAAGAAGACTCTGTCCTGGCTGCGGGTCGGTCGTGAGGAGAAGTAGAAGTGGCATAGCTTTTTCATTTTACTAAAAACGTCACCTCGGTCGAGAGGGTGGGGTTTTGGAAGTTGCGTCAGGCTCCAAAGTTTATGTCCAAATATGGGTATAAGATTTTGTTGCAAAACTTTTCGGAAGTGGGATTTTAGGGAGGCCTGAGATAAATATGGTAAAAGTTCGGGTATGTATGGCAGTAAAAGACTTCAATGTTCCGCTAGGATTAGTCACAGATTGCGCGCAATAAAAATTTATGAATAATGTGGGAAACGCATGAGTTTCCGAAGATCAAAGGTTAGTAATATCATATAACAGCATGAAAGATTGTCTGGTCGGTCCATCTTCAAAGAAAATTGTTGCTCCGAACAGGAAGTTATTCAAGGTTATTTGGTGAGGAGATATATGGCTAAAATAACTCGGCGGATCTTTCTGACGGAAATAGGGAAACTCTGGTGATTAAAGCAGAGAGAAAAAAAAGGAGGAATGTGTGTGTGATGTTACTGTTCTCGGAGGGTCGCGGAACATGAACATTTGGTCGTATAATATAAAATGCAATCCGCCCTACTTGACAACGAATTCAGAGTACGCGGAGTCTGCAGGACGTAACGCATGCTTGTTCGATGTTTAAAGGATGGAGTCTGGATCAGCGTCGCAGTTACATTCGGAAGCACAAGCGCTGCTTTAATTGCATGAGTCCCGGACACTCGGTCTTGCAGTGCCAAAGTAAATACACGTGTCGAGTATGTCAAGGTCGACATCATTCATTGTTGCACGCCGTTCTGGATTCTCGTTCAGACGCGATTTCCCGCGGGCCATGCGCTGCCGCCGAGTCGCATGCGCGTCCTGATGCCAATGAGGAGGCCGTCGCAAAGGAGGTATCGGCGTTGTGCGTCACCTCCAGGCCGACGGCTCGTCCTCGCGTCCTACTTGCCACTGTATGGGTTACGGTTCGCGCCCCTTCAGGACGAGCGGTTCGCGTTCGAGCACTGTTGGACCAGTGCTCGGAAATATCATTCGCGACCGAAAATCTGGTTCAGTTGCTGCAGGCCAAGCGAGTGCGACTACCCATTGAAATTTCAGGAGTTGGGTGCGTGCACGCGGGCTCTTCGCAGCGGGCGATTCGCGTCATAATCACGCTTCGCGATGCATATTCCCCCGAATTTCCGACAACCGCGATTGTCTTAAAGACTCTCACCGCGTATGTCCCTCCTCGGGTCGCCGTTGGCGCCGCTCTCGATCATCTTCAGGATCTGCTACGGGCCGACCCCGATCCCTGCAGCTCCGAGCCGATAGAGCCAACTATCGGCGCGGACGTATATCTTCTGCGCTCGGGCGTCCGCCAGAGGACGCATGGGGGCGCTCACCGCTCAGAGCACTGTTTTCAGGTGTGTGCTCTCGGGTCCGTTGAGCGGCTCCGTTGTTCCTTCGTCGTCTGGCGCGTCTGTCTCGTTCCGCGGTGCGAGGACCGGATCGCCATCCCTTCGTATAAACACGCTCCATTATATGGAATCTCTTTCGCTTGAAAGCGAACTCCGACGATTTTGGGAACTGGAAGAAGTTTTCACAAACCCAATCCTCAATTTGGAGGACGAAAAGTGCGAGGAGCATTTTCGAACTTCTCATTCCCGCGACGAAAGCGGTCGCTACATCGTACGGATTACCTTCCGAGAGGGACCTCCGATTCGCATTGGCGAATCGCGTGCTATAGCGGAGAACCTGCTGCACAGCCTCCACCGTCGTTTTCACGCTCACCCGGGCCACAAGGTTGAGTATGTGGAGTTCCTTCGCGATTATGAAGAACAGGGTCACATGCGGGAAGCGGGGAGAGATTATCAGTTAGGAGATCAGGTCGCCTTCATTCTTCACCATCCCGTCATTCACGCTTCCAGTGCGACGACTTGCCTTCGCGTGGTGTTCAACGCTTCGAGCGTTTTTTCAAACGACACATCATTGAATGACCATCAGCTTATTGGGCCGAAGCTTCAGACGGAAATGCCCGCATGCTGCGTTGGAGGCAGCATAAATTCGTCTTAGCCGCTGACATTAAGCAGATGTATAGGCAAATACCCATTGACAAACGAGACATCGACTATCAGCGCATCCTCTGGAGCGCCGATGCATCGGAACAACCGCGGGCTTATCAGCTACTTATCGTAATATATGGGACCGCATCCGCTTTGTTTCTTGCTCTTCGAGTTTTACAACAGTTGGTAACGGATGAAAGCACGCCATTTCCTCTCGCGTCCACTACCTTAAAGGACAATATCTACATCGACGACGTGTTGTTCGGCGCATCCGATGTTGCCACACTTCAAGAAGCCTGCCTTCAACTGGAACGATTGCTTCAGAAAGGTGGATTTCAGCTGCACAAGTGGACTGGTAATAACATTTCGATGATCGCTGCGAATCATTCAAACGCGGTGTTCATCGCTTCCAAATCTTTCGGACTTGATGATCGCGTCAACATTTTGGGAGTCGCATGGAATCCAGCTTTCGACGAGTTCATGTTACATTTGACCCTTCCTAGTTCGGTGCCTCGCACCAAGCGCTCTATCCTTTCGTTTATTTCGAGGCCGTTCGACCCATTGGGATAGGTCACGCCTGTCCCTATTTGCGCCAAAGTGCTCATTCAATCTTTATGGCGATTGAAGGTACCTCTTTGAAGTAGGCTGGACCAAATCGGCAGAATTGAAACGCACCTATTAAACTTTTTAGTACTTATTTTGTGCTAATTTGTCCCATAAGAGAAAACTTCGTATCTCGTGCCGTTTTGAAAAAAATCGTGGTGCTGCTACCTTCATATGAAGCCAGCAGGACCACAACAAAAAATAATTAAAAATTAAAAACAAGTACATAAATAGAAAGTACATAATTTGTGCTCATTTGTGCCATCAGAAAGAAGTTCATATTTGCATTCAGTTTCAGAAAAACAACACTTATTAAATTAAAACCCAAAAATCAATTTGAAACGTCAGTATCCGCTCTTATGAATAGACTCAAACCGCAACTCTTGCAACAGATACCGTTTATTTTGTGCTACTAAAATATGTAATTGCAGATTTTGTACCCGCGGCATTCCTACAAAAATCATCCAAGAACCAGCTCACTCTCAAGAGTAAAGTGCCATTTGTGATCAGCAGAATCCAGCCGCGAGTTTTGCAATAGATGTCGGATATTTTGTAACATTTAAGTTTGTATTTACAGATTGTGGTGAATAGGCTTATTTAAATTGTGTGGGGGTTTTTAAATAAAGACTTAATTTTGTTAAAAATAGCCAAAAAACTTTTAACTATGTCCAATAAGTTTTAGAAATAAAAATTTATTTTTCTTTCGCATGTATTAATAATGCCGGTATACTTTTCATATTTGATTTAATATGTTTTTCCTTGTTTTCCAGATCATTGTATTCAATCCGTTGTCCCATTCGTAGAGCAAGTGCCGTGTAGTGCCCTACTTGTGTTAATCTCGTCTTGTATCCTGTGTATGCAGCAATGCCGATCAATTTATATATTTGCATATTATATAGATTTATGCATTGTTGGACAATGTCATTCAGATTTATATCTGTGATTGTCTTTCCCGTGGAGAAAATTTCGAATAGTATAACAGAACCTGCAAGAAGAAAGCAAACTTAAAATGTATAAAAGCCAATATCATTGCAAAACATCATTATTTTAATAGCAAAACAAAAAATTTGTCTGTAAAAAGATATTTGTATAAAATCTTTGCATAAAGAATTATTTTCTACCTTTTTTGTTGCAATAAAGATGCAGCATTAAGTATTTCGTTCATAGTAATGTATACATATAACTTTTATGATTTTTATAAGTATTGTATAAGTGTTGTATGGTAATTCTTTAATTCAGTAACATTGAATAATAAGTTTTAAAATTGGAATTACATACCAGTTTCAGTGAGTGCTGTTTTTTCAAGTCCAGCACAATGCTTTGTGCAACAAAGGCGTTCTCCTTCCAAGACTACGCTCTTTTTGAGAATCTCATTGAAATTTTTTCCTTCAGCGATATCTGATTCTTCTATTTGGATCACTGTTAATGTCTTATATCATGGCGGGCGTCCAGAGTTACACTGGGATGTTTCTTTGAAACTTGGTGTTTCTTTAAATAAAATATTAGCTAAATAACCAATATTTGTCTCGCAATTGATATATTTACATGTGTCGTTTGTGTCAGACGTCGGGAAAATATTCAACAGTATTTCAGAGCGCAATTTGTACATATATTGGTTAATACCGCTATTTATGATGTGCAAAATTAACTTAAAAACAAATTAATCTCGGCTTTTTCCTCTATAGGTAACAAAATATGATCTATAAAATATGATGATAAGTCGTGTGCTGTCGTGAGTAATATTTGAGAAATGCTATCAAATGCACAGGTATTGGCGACAGTGTAGAAGTATGATTCTTGGTTTTTACGGATTTTAGTGTAAGGCTGCTACCATTTTTTAATATAGGTATTTTTGGCGCTTTCTTGCATACTAGAGCATCAATTATTTTATGAGGATTTTCTCCGAGATATAAGAGATCTCCGCGTTGGTTTTGGATGACTTACTTTGCTCCAGTCCACGCCAATTTTCTGTTTTCTGGCTTGCCAAAATACCTTTAATGCTTTTTACATTAATTTTGCACATTGTACATATGCGGGGTTGACCGCAACCCTCTTCAACATCTCCGAACGGCACAGAACATCATATTTTTTTGCAGAAATGACAAACATGTGCACCTGATGGTGTATCGTCATTTTTGTATGCTATACACTCGTTATTTACACTGAATGATAAATTAATTTCAGGATTACTTTCTTTTATCGGGGTGCGAATTAATATTTCTGTTGTGTCAACAGATGATACCGTTACATTTCTATCCTGTTCATAGCAATTTTTCATATTTCGTGCAAATAATCAACATGCTTCTGAACGAAAGCATCAATTCGCTATAATGGGCAGTTTTTAACAGTAAACTTTTTAATTTATTAAACTCGCTTTCGACCGATGCACTGGAAGCAGGTACGCGACCATGACCAAATTGATTTCGATAGACATTTGTCCACATCGGTAACAATCTAATATCTATGATTAAACGCTCGATTATGTCTGGCAGATAATGCGGATTGATTCTATCACCCAAATTAGTGTCAATTACAGATTTTACTTCGTGTGAAATGTCTTTGCCCTAAGTGCTTCATGAATTTTCAAACAGATTAATATAATTATCAATTTGATGTACTATATTCTCCTCCATTTCAAATACAGTGCTATCATTATTATCGGTTTCAAAATTTTTTAAATCGATGTTCCCTTTCATTAGATTTACTAATTTTTCGCGCTCTAAATCGCACTGCGTTGATATGTCGTTTTTTAAATTTCCATCGGTCTCCGATAATGCAACTGTAAATATAGATTTTATAATATTTCTAGCATTATTAATAGTTCGACAGAGTATCAATTGTCCAATCGCTTTTAAATAGCAGGTTTTTACTCTTTTATTAAAAGTTTTTGATATTTTACTATATCGTTTTATGAAATGTGCGACGTCTATTCTAATGTAGCACCTGGGCAAATTGGAGCTTCTGAACGCATCCGCATAATCTTCTACATTCAAATAACCGGTAAAAGCACGGGTGATCGCAATCAATAGCGCTCTCGATGAATCACAAACTACTTTCTTAGGGATTGGTGCGCCGGAACGTAACCACTTTGCTAATCAAAAATGAATTGAATTTACATTGTGACTTTCGCTAATCATTTGGCAAATCGAAAATTGCTCATTTTTGTATTTGATGACGCAGTGATATAAAAACATGTTTTAAAACGGATCCACTAACTTTACATAGTTTCTTTACTACACTACCGGTCACATCAATGAATATACACGCATTATTTTCTACGGAATATTTTCTATATATATTCAATTGATGATTTGTCCAATAGTGGACAAAAATTGGATCTAATCCAATGGTTTGAGTAATATTAGTCATTGATGTTGATTTTAAAATAACTAAAGCTTGAAGAGCATCCGTATGTACGTAATTTGATTTTGTAATTTCTTTCTTAGTTGCATGTAACACATCCGAGGTGTATAAATGAGAAGGGGTCGTATCTCCCTCTCTCATTAACGTGTGTGCCTTTTCGGCACAATACACATGAACCGATTTTTGTTGTAATTCTTTTCCGATCATTGCTCTCGTGGGATTTCGTAAATATCTCTTGCTGCAATTACCACTGTCTTGCATGTATGTGCAATCAAGCTTTAGGCAGTTGTTAGATGGATCGTTATCCTGTATAATGCACTTCAATGTACTGCCGCATGAACAAGAACCTGATGAAAAATATATTATCGAATATATATGTTTGTGTTACACACATCATCTTCTCTAGCAGACTAACAATCAAATTCACAAAATTCTCTCTGTGTCTCATAATATCTATCTACTTATAGTAATCTTACCATTAATAACTCCGGTTTTCGCATCTGCGGAGATGTAGTGGTTTTTAAACTGAAATCCACATTTTATGCGTGTGACTTCCCAGAACTTATTTGTTATCAGTTCCTGTCATTTCCCAGGTTGAAGAACTTTGCGTAATCTATAGTAGGTTTTCCCCTTGTTGTTGGCTCATCACTTGTATACTTTTTCAACGAGAAGATTTTTTAATTCTTCCTTTAAAACCGAGATTACAAAATGTTTTTCACTGCAACTATTTAGCGATTCACTTGCAGATTTTTCGTGCCACTCCGAATCATTACTCATTACACTTCCATACGTGATATCAGATTTGTTATTACATGAATCTTCGTTAAAAAGTTCATTTCTTACATTACACCGATTACACACTACAAACGTATATAAACAGTTTTCCGTCACATTATTTTCTAGCTCTCGTAATAACCCGCCAAATATAATGTGTCTTCGAAATTATTCTATTGTTATTATTAATATCTTTATATTTTAATATCACTTCCTTCATCTTCGCCGAATTAACTTTTGCAGGTCTACCGCGTACTGGTTTCATGTTGAACATGGTCTCTATACTCTGTCACGGAGTGAACTATCTCCTCTGAAGAACTGCGTGAGAATGAAGACTAGTTATTTGTAAGAAAATCGACGACCAATATTTTCGGTATCTATCAAACATTTTTGACTTGTTGCGTCACAGGGTAGCGGCCCCGTAATCTCTTTCATGTGTACCGACACCTCCACGGGACTCTCACCCTTTTAGCGTAGGAGTGCATAGCCGAGATTAATTTGTTTTTAAGTTAATTTTGCACATCATAAATAGCGGTATTAACCAATATATGTACAAATTGCGCTCTGAAATACTGTTGAATATTTTCCCGACGTCTGACACAAACGACACATGTAAATATATCAATTGCGAGACAAATATTGGTTATTTAGCTAATATTTTATTTAAAGAAACACCAAGTTTCAAAGAAACATCCCAGTGTAACTCTGGACGCCCGCCATGATATAAGACATTAACAGTGATCCAAATAGAAGAATCAGATATCGCTGAAGGAAAAAATTTCAATGAGATTCTCAAAAAGAGCGTAGTCTTGGAAGGAGAACGCCTTTGTTGCACAAAGCATTGTGCTGGACTTGAAAAAACAGCACTCACTGAAACTGGTATGTAATTCCAATTTTAAAACTTATTATTCAATGTTACTGAATTAAAGAATTACCATACAACACTTATACAATACTTATAAAAATCATAAAAGTTATATGTATACATTACTATGAACGAAATACTTAATGCTGCATCTTTATTGCAACAAAAAAGGTAGAAAATAATTCTTTATGCAAAGATTTTATACAAATATCTTTTTACAGACAAATTTTTTGTTTTGCTATTAAAATAATGATGTTTTGCAATGATATTGGCTTTTATACATTTTAAGTTTGCTTTCTTCTTGCAGGTTCTGTTATACTATTCGAAATTTTCTCCACGGGAAAGACAATCACAGATATAAATCTGAATGACATTGTCCAACAATGCATAAATCTATATAATATGCAAATATATAAATTGATCGGCATTGCTGCATACACAGGATACAAGACGAGATTAACACAAGTAGGGCACTACACGGCACTTGCTCTACGAATGGGACAACGGATTGAATACAATGATCTGGAAAACAAGGAAAAACATATTAAATCAAATATGAAAAGTATACCGGCATTATTAATACATGCGAAAGAAAAATAAATTTTTATTTCTAAAACTTATTGGACATAGTTAAAAGTTTTTTGGCTATTTTTAACAAAATTAAGTCTTTATTTAAAAACCCCCACACAATTTAAATAAGCCTATTCACCACAATCTGTAAATACAAACTTAAATGTTACAAAATATCCGACATCTATTGCAAAACTCGCGGCTGGATTCTGCTGATCACAAATGGCACTTTACTCTTGAGAGTGAGCTGGTTCTTGGATGATTTTTGTAGGAATGCCGCGGGTACAAAATCTGCAATTACATATTTTAGTAGCACAAAATAAACGGTATCTGTTGCAAGAGTTGCGGTTCGAGTCTATTCATAAGAGCGGATACTAACGTCTCAAATTGATTTTTGGCTTTTAATTTAATAAGCGTTGTTTTTCTGAAACTGGATGCAAATATGAACTTCTTTCTGATGGCACAAATGAGCACAAATTATGTACTTTCTATTTATGTACTTGTTTTTAATTTTTAATTATTTTTTGTTGTGGTCCTGCTGGCTTCATATGAAGGTAGCAGCACCACGATTTTTTTCAAAACGGCACGAGATACGAAGTTTTCTCTTATGGGATAAATTAGCACAAATTATGCTTTTCTATTTATGTACTTGTTTTTAATTTTTAATTATTTTTTGTTGATCTTGCTGGCTTCATATGAAGGTAGCAGAGCCACGATTTTTTTCAAAACGGCACGAGGTACAAAATTTTTATTAGTGGCACACATTAGCACAAAATAAGTACTAAAAAGTTTAATAAGTGTGTTTCAATTCTACCGATTTGGTCCTGCCTACTTCAAAGCGGTATTGAAGGTTGCATGGGGCGATTCGCTTCCGTACGACTCTTTTCGACATTGGGAGAAATTTTATCGATCCCTTCCACGTCTAAGCGGCCTTCGTATTCCTAGATGGACCGGGCAGCAAGCCGACGACGTTCTAATGGAATACCATGGCTTTTCCGACGCCTCGTCTGCTGTGTTCGCCGCGGTAGTCTACCTGCGAACTGTATCTCGTTCCGGCACCGTCAATGTGGCTTCACTGACGGCCAAATCGAGAGTTGACCCGGTAGCCACTTTGAGCATTCCTCGGCTCGAGCTTTGCGCCGCCCTGCTGCTCTCGCGATTACTGAATTTTGTTCAAGAAACTTTTGCGCTCACGGACCTTCCGTGTTTCTGTTGGACCGACTCGAAGGTTGTATTAGCATGGCTTAACAAGCAGCCTTCAACGTGGAAGACTTTCATCGCCAATCGAGTAGCGGAAATTCAAGCCTGGACTATTCTCGCTGCCTGGCGACACGTGTCGACGCATGCCAATCCGGTGGACTGCGCGTCGCACGGTGTATTCGGCGACGAACTCGGCGATCTGAGATTCTGGTGGGACGGTCCATCTTGGCTCAAGCAGTCAGAAGAAAGCTGGCTGCTCCCAGAATATTCAATCCCCGCGCGCGACGAGGATCTGGAGCAAGTGCGGGTCGCCTCGCATGTTTCAACTTTAGCGCCCAAATGGGATCTTGAGTCTCGTTTTTCGTCGTGGACGAAGCTTCTTCGCGTCACCGCCTACAAGATGCGTTTTCATCATAATTGTCTCGCTCGTGTATTCAAATCGAAATTACTAACTAGGGCATTCGTGACTGCCCCGGAAGTCCAACGAGCCCGTGTTTACTGGCTCTGTCGGATTCAACGGAAACTGTTTTCGGATGAAATATAGGCGCTATCTCGTTCCAAGCCGCTGTCGCCCAAATCATCACTACTGTCATTAAGGCCTTTCCTCGACTCCGACGGCTTGTTGCGAATAGACGGCCGGCTGGAGGAATCTAATCTTCCATTCAATCAAAAGCATCCAGTGATATTAGCTTCTGATCCGTTAGTCAAGTCGATCATTGTCGGTGTACACTAGCGAATGCTTCACGCTGGGCCGTCTCTTACTCTTGCCACTCTACGTCAAGAGCTTTGGATAATGAGAGCTCGGAGTTCTGTCCGCGCAGTTATTCAGAATTGTGTTCGCTGCACTCTGGAGAGAGCCGACACTCCTCAGCAGTTAATGGGAAGCCGTTCTTTCCCCCGCGTCACCATTTCGGCCCGATGCTTTGTCCACTGTGGCAGTGATTACGCTGGTCCAGTGCTCGTTCATGCATCGGCCGGCCGTGGAATTAAGACCATCAAGGCCTACATTGCTTTGTTTGTGTGTCTGGCCACCAAAGCCATCCATCTCGAATTGGTGAGCGGCTATTTAACCCAATCATTCCTTGACGCCTTATCCCGGTTTTGCGCCCACCGGGGATTGCCGCGTGACGTATATTCCGACAACAGCACGAATTTTGTCGGAGCGGATCGCAAGTTGTCCAACGCATATCGCACCGCATTGAAAATCCCACGTTACGAAATCGCTTCGCCTCTGACCAGGTTATGTGGCACTTCATGCCCCCTTCGGCCCCTCATTTCGGAGGATTATGGGAGGCCGGAGTTCGCTCCATGAAGTATCATTTGCGCCAAGTGGTCGCGGGACATACCCTCTCTTTGAGGAACTGTTCACCGTTTTATATAGAATCGAGGCGTGCCTCAATTCTCATCCGATTGCTCCCTTGAGCGATTCAGCCGACGATTTAACCGTATTGACGCCCGCGCACTTTCTTGTCGGGGGTGTGTTAACGATGTCCCCCGAGCCATCGACGCTCGACATAACGAGAATCGACTCGCGCGGTGGCAGGTAGTTCGGCGTATGACCGAACATTTTTGGCAGGCATGGCGGGCGGATTACCTGAGTTGCTTGCATCAACGGGGAAAGTGGTGACATATACGAGATTCACTCCGGATAGGACAAATAGTCTTATTGCGTAATCCTTGCTTACCGCCCTGCAAATGGGAGTTGGGTCGCGTTTCGTAGGTCCATTCTGGAACCGACGGGCTTGTCCGTGTAGCGACCGTTCGAACGGCAACGGCTATCTTCAAGCGACCGATTTAGCAAAGCTTTGCGTCGATCATGTCCGTCGATCATGAGAGATCTGCATCTACCGAGCCCACGGATTAGACGGCGTTTTAACCGCTTGCGAGGGAGCCGCTGACAGAATCCGAAGTATTGCTTAACTCCATTCTCTGAATGCGTGGACGCGTTTTATTCTAAAATCAATGCGCTAGTGCCTTCATTTTCCATAATACCAATAACTTGACTGACCACTGCGAACAGTTGCAGGCGCCACTTCAGGAGTATGGCACTTCATAATTTCTATATTTCATTAACAACGTGCCGAACCCGCTGGCTTATTTTGGTGTGATGTGCGGCTGCGGTTTATGTTAAAATTAGCATTCAAATTTTAATTGATTGCGAATAATCTCCTGACTGAGATGCCAGCGTTTCAAAACTAGTGTTTCGAGGCGGGCGGTATGTTCGCACAAGAGCGAATTATTTGCGGCTCGAGCGGATCGTGACAAGCACGTGAAACCAGCGCAACCAGGGCGAATCAATACAAACACCGATACGTCTTTCTTGTTGTTTGCTCCAATATGAAACACCCATGACCACCTTGAGTCGTGGAAAAAAAAGGCACACGTGCTCGAATTGTGCGCTTAGGGCACAGGCAGACGACGCTCATCGCTAGTTAGTCAATGGGCGATCGACACCGCTCTACACCAGCGGTGGCTCGTGTGGCTCACGTGATCGACGCCGCGCTCGCCGGTGCGTTGCTCTTACACGTTTTCGGTGACTTCTGCCGGCTCGTGGTGCCCTTTGAATTGTACCAGGCACGCGCGCTCGGAGTGGGCCACCAATCCGCTCGGCGTGGATTGTGACACGCGGGAGCAATTATCCGAAAAATCCGAATATCTGCGCAACGCAGATCGACAGGCGGATCGATCGCTCCCGTTGAGAATGTCCGTGTAAATCGATGACGGTCAGAGAAAAAGCAGCGAGTTGAGTTGACGGACACCGATTTTCGTTCCACCGGATACTCGTAGCACTGCGTTCATCGATTTGCGATCCCGCGGGCTGCTCGCTCTGGATGATTACGTCGTTCGGGCTGTCGTGAGTCGGTGCGGGAGTGAGATCGTCGTCTTGCGATCATTTCAAACTATATTCATCACGGTTTTGGTAACCGTCGTTCTCGTCGCCGATAACATTGTGAACTCTGTGAATAACTGTCATTATCGTCGGTGCTGCGGTTGTGCTGTTTTTGGGGAATATTTTCGTGTCTCACAGCTCAAATATAACTATTGAGAAGAGTACAATCTCCCGGTCTTTGATCATTCTTCCTTGTTCAAGGATCACGAACCGTCCTCACGTCCTTGTACTGGGCGGTATTAGCCCAACGCGATTTGCGCGTGACCTGTCGACGGCAGAGAGCGCTCGCTCGCCGACGAACAAAAGCGCGACGCGCGAGAACAAAGGTCATGTTTATTAACGCAAATATTCCACAGATTACATAAGAGGTGTGGCTATAAAATAACGAGATTCATGCTTCCACAGAAGATGTACGCATGCGTCAAACGCGAACGACCGACAGCTGTGTAGCGTGAAGCCTTCTCCTTGCGGCGCCTCCCGTGTCTGTAAACAAATTTGTGTGGCCGTGGCCTTCGTTTGTATAAGAGCTGTTATTTTGCTTTGCCGGAAAAATGATAAGTGTAAAAATAGAACAACGAATCGTCGTGAAATTCACATAAAACTTGGAAAAAGCGCTACTGAAACTTATGTTTTATTAAAAGAGGGGTATGGCAATGAATGTTTATCACGTGCGCGAGTTTTTGAGTGGTTTAAGCGTTTCCAAGATGGCCGAGAAGACGTTGAAAATGATTCACGCCCGAATCGCCCTTCCACGTCAAAAACGAATGAAAATATTGAAAAAGTCGATAATCTGATTCGATCTGACCGTCGGTTAACTATTCGTGCGATTGCTGAAACTGTAGGAATTGACAAAGAATGCGTAAAGCAAATTGTGCATAAAGAACAAGTCATGGGTTCTCCATCAAGACAACGCGCCGGCTCATTTTGCATTGTCTGTGAAGATGTTTCTAGCCAAATACAACATGCCAGTGTTAGACCATCCGCCTTATTGGCCAGACCTTGCACCATGCGACTTTTATCTCTTTCCCAAGGTCAAATCTGCATAAAAAGGAACAAGATTTCAGTCCGTTGAAGCTGTGAAAGAAAAAGCGGCACGCGTCATGAAGGAGTTCACAGAAGGCTTCCAGCACTGTTTCGAACAATGGAAAATTTGCATGGAGTGTTGTAGGGATAGAGGAGGGGTATATATTCATCGTGATAATAACTAAAAATGTATAAATTCGAAATAAAATGTTGTAACGGTTACGCCCGCGGGGTTCGGTGCGATCGGTCGCCCCACCGTCGCGCCCGGCTCGCCGCTTCCGCGACGCCTCGCTCGCCGCCGCGTCGGTGCGTTACTCGGGTGAAGGGCAGGAGGTGCAAGGTAGCTTCTTGGAAGAAAGATGCGTTCAGTGTTTCGGTATTAACAAGTTTGGGTGCGCCCCGCAAGGCGCCCCGTTTATTTAAAAAGATATTCGGTTCTATATATATATAAATGTATGTAGGCGGCTCGCTGGCTCGGTGTGGCGTCGGCGATGCCCGTTCCTCGGTGCTCGTGACTCCCCGCTTAGCCGCAAAGATGGTCCCCTATCCGCGGGGTCAGAGGGGATGTTCCGCGGCCTCGTGGCAGTCCGACGTCCTCGGCCACGAGTCCTGTTGAGGGCGCTTTACGCCAGCTGTTCTTTCGGATAAGCGAGAGGTGGTTTATTCCGGTAGCTTATCACGGACACAAAGTCGGACAAGCACCGATAATTCCGCGAACCGATGCTTAGAAATATTCTGTGTCGGTGGCTAACTGCTGCCGACACAGACGGACGTGCACTTATAAATCGCGGAACGGTGGCTAACTGCTGCCGTTCGTTCGGAAACAGATACTTATTCTATGTCGGCGCGGCGGCTAACTGCTGCCTAACGTCGACGGACGAACACTTAGAAATCGCGGAACGGTGGCTAACTGCTGCCGTTCGTTCGGAAACAGATACTTAGTCTAATTCGGCGCGGCGGCTAACTGCTGCCTAACGTCGACGGACGAACACTTAGAAATCGCGGAACGGTGGCTAACTGCTGCCGTTCGTTCGGAAACAGAAACTTAGTCTATGTCGGCGCGGCGGCTAACTGCTGCCTAACGTCGACGGACGAGTACGTATAAATCCGCGAACGGATACTTAGAAATATTCTGTGCCGGTGGCTAACTGCTGCCGACACAGACGGACGAATACGCTAAATTCGCGAACGGATACTTAGAAATCTTCCGTGTCGGTGGCTAACTGCTGCCGACACAGACGGACGATTACGGTAAATTCGCGAACGGATACTTAGAAACCTTCCGTGTCGGTGGCTAACTGCTGCCGACACAGACGGACGAATACGGTAAATTCGCGAACGGATACTTAGAAATCTTCCGTGTCGGTGGCTAACTGCTGCCGACACAGACGGATGAATACGGTATATTCGCGAAGCCGGTCGCTTGACGAGGCTCGGCTGCCGGGTCTTGTAAAAGTTCCCGGTGGTTCGGTACGGTGTGGAAGCTTTACTCACCGGCGGATGCCTTGCCTTCTCGTCGACTTCTCTTCACGATTCTCGCTGGAGCTCTCCTTGGTAGGATGATCTGACTGACTGACTGTCTCTCACGGTCTGCCTCGATCTCTCGTCGAGAGCGGGTTTTATACCCTAAATTCCTCTCGACGATCGGTGGCCGATAATCGGGGGATTAGTTCCCCCGATTTCCCGGAAAGTCGCGCATGCGATTTCCGCGAATTACCCCTTTCTGGGGGGACCGATCTTCCCCGACCGTTTCGGAGAATTCGGCCTTTCCCGGCGGTCTGGCGGGTTGCCGCGGCATAGGTGTTGCCGGGTGCTTAGCG